TACACATGAACCAGGAGTCCCTTCCAACTGGAGCGTCTCTGGACACCTCAGGATAAATTGAGGACCTCATCCACCGGCCTATGATCCCATACATAACTTGGTGATCTCAGGGGGCTGCTTAGGGGGTGGCGGCACAGCCCTGTCCCCATTAGCTTTCTTCGGGAGGGCACCTCTTCCTCCCACTCCCCACACATGGCTGGGCAGGGAGCTAAGTTCCAGTGTGTTCCCAGGGCCAGACCACAGCTGACCAGACTAAAGATGAGTACCTGATCCAAGATGGGCCAACGAATCCCTCTTCTGGAGTCCTCTAAACTCGCAATCAAGACTGTCAGGCCCTCAGCCGAGTGGCTCAGATGGTTAAGAGCTTGCTCAAGAGCGTGAGCTCTGAGCAACAGGGTCACCAGTTTGATTCCCGCATGGGCCAGTGAGCTGCGCCTGAGCTGAGCTGCCGCTGGGCTGCCAACAGGTGGCAGGATGGCTCAGCTGGTGAGAGCACGTGCTCCTAACAATAAGGTTGCCTGTTCGATGGTGGGCTACACCCACCTGCAACTAAGGACTGAGCTCCGCACCCTGAGCTGAGCTGCCGCCCAGATGGCTCAGTGGATAGAGCGTGCGCTCTTAACAACAAGGCTGCTGGTTTGACTCCCGCATGGGATGGTGACTATGCCTACCCGCAAATGAAACTGAACTTGGCACCTTGAGCTGAGCTGCCGCCCGGATGGCTCAGTGGATAGAATGTGCGCTCTTAACAACCAACAAGCCTGCTGGTTCAACTCCTGCATGGGATGGTGGCTACGCCCAGCTGCAACTAATTGAGCACAGCACCTGAGCTGAGCGGCACAACTGGACTTGGAGCTGAGCTCTCCACAACTAAGACTGAGGGACAGCAACTTGGCTGTTCCCCTTCCCCAAGGCTCCAAATAAAAAAATTTAAAAAAAGTGCCAGGCCCTAAGCAAGCAAAAGTCAGAAAAGTATCTGACTTTTATCTAGAAAAACTGGTGAAGACAAAAGGGGGCAAGCGGAAGAGCCTGACACTGATGAGGCAGTAGCACAGTCTTCATCTCCGACCTCAGCTCAGCTACTCGGGAGCCCTCGGATCCCAGGTTACGTAGAGAACTTCACGAGGGCTCAATTTCCTCATCGTAAAATGGGAGCCTGGACACAGCCTCAGAGTTAGTCTGACAGTGAAAGGAGACACGGCCTAGTAAGCTCTCAGCACTGAGTGAGCACCCAAACCATGAGGATTTCACCCTGAGCCAGGCTCCGTTGCGAAGTGCTCCACAAACATCTCACAGAACCCCCTCCACAATGACGGAGGCAGCATGAGCCCCAACGAGGAGAGTAAGGCCCCAAGAGCTGAGGTGACCTTTCTAAGGTTACTCAGCCAAAGCTGGGTCTCCGGGACTTGAAATTTCCTGCCTTTCTCTTTTCATTAACTTCCTCACTGTCCACTTAAGTACCAGAAAGAGCCAAGTCCACGCCTGTTGATCGCTCTGTCTTTCAAAATCCTTTCCAAGATTTTACTCCAACGTTGGGTATCGGGGTAGGGGGATTTATTTATGAAATCTGGGCCAAGTGGGCTCTGTTAGAAACTCCAGTACATTCTATATGTTCCCTGCCATGACTCTCTTTGAGGTTAGAAGCCAAAGCTATTAAGTCAACCTTCAAAATTCTTACCAGTCCCATAAGATGCTTAATAAACCCTGTTTGAATTGAAGGGTTAAAATGCCTGCTGCATAAATATAGAGTCCTATACTTTGGGGATGGTTTAGACCGTTACTTTCAATAGTGAGCTACTTAGAAATGTCAATTTTATTCTAATTTAATTTCTCAGGTAATGGAGCTTGTCTTTCAATGCTACAACTAGAATCTCCTCAAACTATTATAGGATTATCAAGAGGATGTTTTAAATATGATACAGAAGTTCAAAATATTAAAAACGCAAGGAACCCAGAACAGCCTCTTCACATTCAGTGAAAAGAGGCCCCCCAAGCTAAGATTCACCCAGGCCTGGTGTGAGGCAGGGCCTGGCCTGGCGCCCTGGCCTGCTGCCTCCCTGTGGGGGCTCACCCTCACCCCAACTCTGCCTCCCTAGCTGATCCTACTGTCTGTCCCGCCTCCTATAGAATCAAAAAGATTATGAGGAGGGGATCATAAATCATTTTTCTCTCATGAGTTTATAGTGTTCCTTTCTGAGGAGTTCAAAAGCGCTCAGTAATAAACCAAGGTGATGAGTTTATGTCTTTTGCTTTTAAAATGAAACTGTATTTGAACTCGTAGAGAGGCATTTACTTTTTTTTTTTTTTTTTTAATTTAGGACATTCCTCTCTTATTTCAACTTTTCGCCCCATGGCATTTTTTGTGGGCGGCTGGGTAATGAGGGTGGGTGATGGCGGGGAGGGGGGGTGGGGTCTGTGTCTGGCACTCCCCTATTCTCCCACAGGCTTTTCCGAATGCCTGACAAAGTCCTCCCTTCTATGGTTTTTAACAAGTCCCAACATCCATACAGAAGATCCCAGCCCCTGCCCCACCCCCACACTGACTTGGCTGTAGTTTCTCCTTCTGTGCTTCTCTCCACTGCCCACCTCCTCGCCCTAGTCACTAACAGCAAAGACATGATGGGAAGCTGTGCTATCTGCAAGCACTGGGCTGTCCATGAGGATCACTTCGCATTTCTTTACCCTAGTCTCTTGCCACTGCCCCTGGGGACTCAGGAAAAAAGAAAACACAGTTAATAAAATTGAAGCTGTGAACAACTACACTTTAAGATGATGAAAGAGAAAAAGAGAGAGGGAAGGAGAAAGAGAGAGAGAGAGAGAGAGAGAGAGAGAGAGAGAGAGAGGGAGCGAGAGAGAGAGAGAGACATGCCTGACTCATCATACCTCCTGCACCAGCCCAGGTTTTAAATAAATGCGAATCTGTCTTGGCCAAGCATTTTTGCTAATGATTTTATTCAGGTGTTAAGCCAAATTTCAGTAACAAACCACATGGAAATACCACCCGGCCACCACACAGTCTTTCCAAACAGAAACATGGGTGGGAGAGGGGGGCTGTTGCTTGTAAGCAGGTAGAATCACATACTTAGCTTCTAGGCCCCTGCAGTCAATAAATATTTGGTGAATGAATAAACCCAAGAGGTATTTGATGATTCAATTGATGTCTTGGGTTTTTATTTCCCTTGGCTTCACAGGCCGGCAGGCCAAACCATACAAAACTCTCTAAGTAAAACCACTACAAGGTTGTTCCAGGTGGAGGAGGAAACAATTGCGTTCTCTGAACTTCAACACCACCAAGCCATGGGAGAACAATGGGGTGTCCCTGGGAGCCCTGTTCCAACCCATTTATAGGAACAACAGACAAAAAGGTGGAGCCTCACTGACCTGCGCAAAGCAAATTAAGACAGACTGCTGAGCCCTGCATAGCAGCAGCTTAAGTATAAGAGAAAATATTATATGAGCGTATTATCCACAAGGAAAGCACTGTTCCTACAGCCTTTGGATGTAGCTGGCATTTCTCCTAGGAAAACACTAAAATAGCCTCAAGGGGGTCACTGCTCTCCCAGAATCATTAAACCGTGCTGGCCAACTATTTAATTAAATGATGAAGTATCAGGACCTGGACCACCTAAAACACCTTGATTCAACTTTGGGAACTAAACCGAACAGGTACTAATTCCTGTGTATGTTTGTTTGTTTCCTGTAAAGGGGCAAAAGAACTTGACAAGTGCTCAGAAGCTACTCAGAACACAAGTGGGCCACAAAAATCACAGATTAGACCCATGAGGGTCTCCTGGGCCCAAAGTCTTTCAGGAGACGAACTGGGATATCTTCAAGTCTGGGGAAGGCTCTCTTTAAAGTACCCTGCATCAAAATCACCTCTTCTCTTGCCTGAATCTCCCAAGAAATCCTCAAGAGCTCAGGAACCAGGACTGATTTTTTTCCCCCAGCTGTCTCCCCATGGTCCCGAGAACAGCAGCTTCTGAGAATATAAAAGATATCCAGGCAATAAAACTTTCCTTAGCAGAGACCATCCTTCCTGTAACCAAAATTTTAAGAACTTTCTCCAAACCTTCCCCCTTCACAAAATGACTGAGTTTAAAACAGGATGCTACCTGTCATATTTTAAGATTACTGATGAATGGTTTTCCAAAATAAATTTATTTCTATATTATACTGCAATCAGAGGTAATGCTGACCCTCTTAGCTAAAAAAAAAAATGTCTTTTTTTTAGTACTTCTAAATGAGATGACAACAGTCAATGGTAGTAAACCTTTCTGGAGAGCTTATTCTGTGCTAGACGTTTGCATCTCATCTCACCTCCTAACCATCCTATGAGGTAAGTTCTAATACAGGACCATAATTGCTGTCTGCCATTCTGAAACCAAAAAAGCTCTAAGACCCAAAAGTTTTTCCATAGCTTACTCGGCAGCAAAACTTAATGGACCTGAACTCATTTTGGAGGCAAAGCTGCCCTGAACTAACATGAAGTTATTTAGATATTAGTTAGCTCACTAATGTGAATATCCATATAATTTGCTACGCAAATGTGAATGTGTTGGAGTACTGCCCCAGAGCTCTTAGGGGTTACTTATTATAAAATATGTATGCCTTAATACTTTTCTAAAGACTCAAAATCTCAGAATTCTGAAACATCTGGCCCCAAGGGTATAAGATAAGGTATTGTGAATCTCTATTATCAACCCATTTCACAGACAACAACCTGAGACTCCTTGAAGGTTAGTCACTTGCCCAAGGCCATACAGTGGATGAAAGGTGGAGCCGACTCAGTGCTGGCAGTCTCCCTCAGAGTCCAAGCTTGTTAGTACCACGGTGGGCTGCCACGAGTCATGTCTTAGTCCTCAACCCCCTCGACTTCAGCTAGGAAAGAGTGCTGTGCCAGCAAGGCTCTTCTCTGTAAACGACTATTTGAGGAATTGACAAAAGGAGGGTGCGGAGAACACCAATTGGAGTCAGAGTGATTTGAAGGGCCTGGTGCTTACCTTGCCCAGGACAGTGAGGCATGGTTTCGGGTCCAGTTCTGGCTGTTCCAGCTTCACCACTCCTACCCAGCCATATTCATACAAGTCCTCTTCATCATTGTTATTACATAGGCCCAGCGGGTGCATCTAGGAAACAAAAGGGAAAGAAAACGTCAATACGCAGGCTGCAGATCGGTTTGACTCACACTGCGCATTTCTCAGACTCGACAGTCAAAAGTAACCTCAAAACTTAAAATTATATGGTGTGTGTGTGGGGGGGTTCAACCCATGGGGAATCCTACCTCAGCACAACGAGCTGAGCACTGGGGAGAAAAACAATAGAGCCACTATAAATATATTTTATAAATGCTTTCTCACTGCTTTGTAAGCAGTGGTCACCCAAGGTAGACACCACCCTATGGGATGCAGGGAAAGAAAAATAGTGGCGCTCCCATGCAAGTGCCAATCTGAATTGCTGTGAAATACCATAACACTAAGTAGCAGTTACAGATGAGATTGCTAGGTTAGTATCCAAGACTCTTTGGCTTCCAGGCCTTAGGATGCATCTACTTCAACTTATGCAAGAGGACCTGGAAACACATTCAGACATTTATCAGGAGACCCTAGCTATAAGGCAGAACCACCAGGGTAATTCACAGGCTGTTTAATGGCTCTCCCTAGTTACTTGGAAACTGATAAAATTCTTTGGGGGCTTTTTCAGAATCTGCAAAGCACAAAATTAAAGACAGGTAAGAGGAGCATCGTCCAATGTTTGCTAGTAAAAGTGCAGTCCGCAGAAACCTGAAAACAGAACAATCCAAAGGCTTGCACTCAGGGTTCTATCACTGAGTCATATGAGGCCCTAGAATCCTTAATAACAATTTGAGAAGAGGAAATCCTCATGGATAAACATAACTTGTCAAGATGTTAAAGACACTAGTACAGTGCTCTTTAAATAACTGGGACAAGTATGTCTTTAGATTCATGGCATGTTTGAGACACAAGAGACCTAAGAACCCATTGTGGTGGACAGAATAATGGCCCCCCAAGAGAGCTATGTCCTAATCCCAGAATCTGTAAATAGGTTACCTTACATGGCACAAGAGACTTTGCAGATGTGATTAAATCTGAGGTGGGGAGATTATCCTGGGTTAACTGGGTGGGTCCAAGGTAGTCAATCACAAAAGTCCTTATAAGGAAAAAAGGAATCATGGAAACAGACAGGGGATGGAGCAGATGTGTCTTAAAGATAAAGGAGAGAACCAGGAGCCACAGAATGCAGGCGGCTGGCCTCCTGGGGCTGAAGAAGACAGGAAATGGATACTCCGCAAGAGCCTCCAGAAAGAATGTTGCCCTGCCAACCCATTTTTGACTTCTGACCTCCTGAACGTTAGTTAAGAGAATAAATTTGATTGCTTGAAGCCACTAAGTTTGCATTAACTTGTTATAGCAGCAGACAGGAAACTAATACACCCTTCCTTATCCCCCGCTCATTTTACAGATGAGAACTGTAGTTCAGGATAAGTAGTTTTTCCAAGACAATACCGCAGCAAGTGACAGCACCCAAAGGTGACCTGGCCCTTGAATTCACAGTCCAGTGCCTTCCCACTTGACCTGTTTACCTTTATTGTCCCTTCCTCCAAGAGCAGGTCTTCTGATTGGGGAGAAAAGACTAAGTGATAAAATCTTTATTGAAAACAATAAAAGGTTGCCTGTCAGCTCTAAATTCTGTGGTGATCGAGTAAAACATGAGGTAAGTGTAGGCAGCAAGAGTTGCAAATAGAATGTTTGGGGAAGTTTTTTGCAACTGCTGAGCCTTGAGCTGAGCTTCAAAGGAAGAGTTAGATGGATCAGGGGAAAGGGACAGAGGGCAGGTAGAAGTTCCAGGCCCAGAGAAGAGGAGCTAGCGGCTTGAGAGGAATGAGACCAGCATGATCAGTATGGAGGGCCACAGTCTACACCGAGAAAGAAAGAAGAGGTGGGCTCGCAAACTAGATACCAAGACAAACGCCACAGGTTCTTCAGCAGAAGAATGGCACATTGAAAATAGTTATTTTAGGCAGATGGGTGACACACCTGCCGGCAGTTCTGTACCTGAACTGGGGAGGCATCAAGGAGTGGAGGAGTGAAGGGTGCAGCCCAGAAATGAGAGATCCTGGGCAATTTAATGGAACGAGGAACTGACCTGTCTCAAAAGATGGAATATTCTAGGCAAAGGCATGAAATACAAATGAAGATGCCAAATCTGGGGGAAATAAAGGATTTGGCTTTCCTGTTAATTGACCATCTACTATGTTACTATGTTTATGTATTTCATTTTATTAATCCTTATATCAGCCTCTGTTGAGATATCAGATGATACTGTGGCGAGACCTTGTAAATAAATTGCCAACTAGAACTGCAAATCAGCCACTGATGCAGAATATAATGGAGTCCATGGAAGTCACATTTATCAATGACAGGATTCCTTCCACTCAAAGCCTATGGCAACCAATCTAGTGAAGGATTTAAAAAGAAATCCACATGGGAGCTTCCACAGAGAATGATCAAGGGATTAAGACAGAACTTTGGAAAAAGTGAGAATCCTCTCATATTTTTGGAAAAACTTGTGATGATCCTGCTGAAGTCAAACATAAGAGGAGGATGCAACATCCATACTCTCATATAATGTTGCTGAAAATATCCCAATGCTGCCCACATGGGAGTCACTTTTTGTTCTCAGAAATCAGCACAAAGCTGCTATTATAATGTAACTTGTTAAATGCAAATACAAACTATTATTTTCAGTTTCATTTTTCCAGAAAAAGCCCCAATCAAACCCTTCTTTCCACTACTTACTGAGAAATATTAGCCCATATTTTTAAAAGATCCCAAAGTCCTTTTCTGGACGACAATCATCTATAGATACTCGTTGATAATGAGGACTTCCTACATAGGAAATGCATATATTCTCCTCAACATTCAGCTAGACAGTTTCAATACTATCACTCCCGACAGTCATCACATAAAAACCAGCTTGTTTATTCACACATGTTGACACCAGCCAGTGACATATAGACAGTGACGACACGTAAGACCTGTGTGCGCTTCCGAATGCTTAATCATTCAAAAATTAATATTAGGATACTTCAGTGAATGATGTTCAAGCATGTTAACTTTGAACTTGATGTGGCACATAAGCATTTAAAAATCAGAGGCATTTCTGAGTTTATTTTAAAATGTTTGGCGGTGTGAGGTTTACCTGATCAGATTTTTGACATTTGAGAAGTTTCTGCATTAATATTTTTAAGAAGGTTAAAAATGGTTGACTTGTGTGTAAGAACTCAGGGATGTCAGAAAGAATTACTAATAAAAACATACAGGGGGAAAATCAAACTAAGAAACCTAGAATGGAACTTAAGAAAGAGCCCACTGGACAGAGGACACTGACGAAAGGGAAGGATGGCCTGAAATGAGAAGACAAGCAAAACCCCTGGGACAGATGTGTACAACACAAGTGATTAACTAGCTACAACTAAACGTAAGGATGTAACACAAAATATGTCCTGTGTTATATACCTCTGGCCTTGTGCTATCAGAACAATCACTTGGGGATGTTCAACATCCTTGCTTAAGTCGGTAGAAGGGAAATACCCAGTGAGTCCTTTATTGTGAGGGTTGACATGATGAGGCTGTGGCTCTCAATTTTGTTCCAAGGAGTGTTTTGGGATGGAAAACAATGAGAGCTTTGGAATCATGCAAACGTGTGTTTCAACCTCACTCCTGCCTCTTAGGAGGCACATCTCCTTGGGCAGATGACTCGATTTCTATAACCCTTGATTTTCTCATCTATAAAAAGGGGACCACAGCATCTGCCTCAACAGGGTGCTGCTGTAAGGATTAAATGACATTAAATACATAACTATGTCCCCAAATGCTGTTTGGTGCATACCACAGTTCTTTCCGCCTTCCCTCTAAGATGGGCACCTGCCTCTAGGAAGACAGTGTTACTTATAGGTCCCTTTCACCCTGCCCAGAGCCTCCTGCCCAATAGTTGCTCAGTAAATGACTGCTGAATGAACAGCCTTCGGCCTGGCGCCTGCTGCCCTGTCTCATGCCTTATTTTTGGTAAGCCACTTGGGTCTCTGCTCCGCTAAGTAAGGGATCAGGGCAAATAGTCAGGATTTAATCAAACTGCTTGCAAGAACTTCAAAAGACCAGGCTCTTATAGTCATTGATGACCAAGTCACCAAAGACATTCCTGGGACGATAATGGCATAGGAGCAAAGGCTGTTCATTCTTGGTCCTGCTGTGGAACCACAGCAGCCGGGCATGCAGAGGCGGCTAACGCTTTCTCAATGCAGAGAACACCACGCTGCCACACTTCCCTCAGGCAGGCTTGTGACAGAGCTTTCTAAGGGCAGTGGAGGGGAAAGAACAGAGGAAGTCCCAGGCTAAAAAGCAAAACCTCACATTTTTCCTCCCATGTCCGATTTCGGAAGCTGCTGTCAACTCCAACAAAGCAAAGGAATAAACCAAGGGAAAGGCAAGTATGGGATCCAGAGCACAGGGAACCCAACAGAGAAGAGACAGAGAGGGAATTCCCTGGATGATGGTGATGGGAAATCCCAGGGTGACAGCTATGCAACCAGCCTGCCGGGTGACCAGTCCGGATGGGACCACAAGTATGAAGACTGCAGGAGAGCCAAAAACATAAACAAACAAACAATAACCTGAGTCATTACCCAGTGGGTTTGACAGTTCTGAGAAGAATGTTATAGTTCTGAACAAGAACAGAAATGTGATGGTTACTATATAGCAAACAAAAGTAATGGGGAGGAGGGATAATTATTAACTCCAGAAAAAACAAAGTTATACCAGAATTGTAAACCATAATCAGGGTATGGCCTGCACGGCCCTGGTTGAGAACAGTGACAGCTGTAATAATGTAAACCCTAATCTAAGCAATAATTGTGAAATAACTATACTGCAAAAATGTAAAGATGGGAAGTGGGGGAGGGGGGTGTAAAAGAACAAAATCTTCATCTTCCTCCATAGGAGGAAGTCAAAAAAATTTTTTATATACTAAAAATATGAAGCAGCAGTATAAACATGTTATTTAAAAACCATTCACAGAAATTTAAAAATATGCACAGAGGTGACTAGCA